CGTGGATGGGGTGGGCGGGCATGGGAGCCGGGGGAAAGGGGAAGGAGGCGGCGTCAATGAATGTCTCCCGGGTAGAGGGGTTAGAATGAGGAAGGGAGGATAGGAAAAAAAGAGGATGATCCACGTGCCTCATTGGCGCAAAAGCTAACGCAAGTGTAGAGCTGATCAATGTGTTGACGGATTTGGGCCTGGTTGACTGCGGAATAGGCCCGCGGATTATCGCCTGTCCGGCCTTTTCGAATCATATTCTCCAACACGGACTTATCCTGTGCGGCGGGGGTGCAATAAAGTGGAAAAAGGAGGAGGATGAATACAAATCGGAGGTTTAGGAGCCTAGACTGCACTTGCCATGGCGAAAGGAAGCGAGGCAACTGCTACTCTCCGCCTTCTCCCGTTGGCATGCCTTGCCTTCCTTCTCCCTACCTTGAAGGAGTAGTACATGCGACACTCCGCGGGCAGTCCGTCCCTCCCTGCGCGACCGCTTTCTTGATAATAGTGGGTCAGGGACTTGGGGAGGGAGAAGTGGATGACGTAGCGGACGTCGGGCTTGTTGATACTGAGGGAGAACGGGAAAGGAGGGAGGGAGGGGAGGAGGGAGGGTAAGGGGAAGGGAAAAACGGGGGAGGGCTGGGGCAGGAGGGCCTTACCCCATGCCGAAAGCCACTGTCGCCGCTGTGGATGGTCGAGAGAGGTTAGGAATATACCATGAGAGGTTATAAATGTCCGAGTGAACATCCGTCCCACTCGCTACCTCCCCACACTCCCGTCGTCAAGTGCAAGCCGGTCCTTGAAAATGGTTTGGCTCCACGTTCCCCTTCCTGCCCTTCTCCCTCCCTCCCTCCCTCCCTTCCTTCCTTCCTTCCTTCCTTCCTCCCTTCCTGCCATGCGGCCTCGTCTGCTACCCTTGCGCTCCCTCTGTCAGCCTTCTTGTCGACCCTCCCACGTACCAATGACGGGCATCCTGCCCTGACTCCATTCTCGGTGCGCTCGTTCCCGCTCCTTGGGTGGCATATCGGCATGGTAGTATCCCACCCGCAGCCGCGTCTTCTCTGCGAGGGCCTGCGGGGGGACGGAGGGACGGGTGAGGGCGTATGGGAACATCAGACACGAGGTCGGCCTCGGGAATGACGGAGCAGACGGAAAGACGGAGGGAAAGGGTGGGAGGCGGTCAAGCGATAAGGAGGAGGGCGAGGGAGCTCCACGAGAGCTCCATCTTCAAGGTAAAAACGAATTTAAGTA